GCCCGCGGGGAGGTGCTGGCGCTCGCCTATCGCGCTCTGTTCTCTCTTTGTAGACGGCAGGCGCTAACACCACCGACAAGGAGCTAGAGGTTCTGTCCTTGCGCAATGTCACCTTTGAGGATGCGGGGGAGTACACCTGTCTGGCGGGCAATTCTATCGGGTTTTCCCATCACTCTGCGTGGCTGGTGGTGCTGCCAGGTACTGGCTCTGCTGCTGCTTGCTCTGCACCTGTTTTGTGGGGTGCTGGCCCGGGACACGCCACAGCTGCCAGGGCTGGGCAGGGGCTGGGGCGTGCCTGGCCTTTTGCCTGGTGTGGGAACTTGGCCTGGCCCCATCTTGGCCCAGGGGGAGCCCCCAGACCCTGAAGTTAGGGCACCAGGTCCTGCACTGTGGCTTTAGCGTCTCCCGGGTGCCTGGGTGGCGGTTTGGGTGCTGCTGGCTCCGCTGGGCTCTTTCTCTCCTGGGTCTGGCCCTCCTGACTCATGTTTGGACTGTAGAACCTGGTGATGGGGTACAGAGGTCTGTGGTCCCCAGCTCTGAGCCCCTCCTGTCCCTGCCAGTGCCTGTGGTTCTGGCTCCTGGTGGCTCCCAGGAGGCTGGGCTGTGCCCCAACACCTGTGTCTTTGCAGCAGAGGAGGAGCTGGTGGAGGCGGACACAGCTGGCAGTGTGTATGCGGGCATCCTCAGCTCCGGGGTGGGCTTCTTCCTCTTCACCCTGGTGGTGGCAGCCGTGACGCTCTGCCGCCTGCGTAGCCCCCCCAAGAAGGGCCTGGGCTCTCCTACCGTGCACAAAGTCTCCCGTTTCCCGCTCAAGCGACAGGTAACAGAAAGTAGATACCAGGTTTCCAGCCACCCGTCTGCCCACCTGGCCTCCTCGCACATGCATCCTGGGTCCTACTGCCCAGGGAGACTCCCTCTGTCTGAGGCTGAGGCTATTTTTCCAGTCGGGTAGTGTGATGCTCCCCCGTCACTGGTCTCTGTATGGAGCCCGGGTTCCTCCTTTTTTTGGCTATAGCAACGTGATCAAATTCAGAACCTTGTGCATGCGAGGCAGGCACAGCACCACTGAGCTAAATCCCCAGCCTGGGTTCCTCATGTTAAATTCTTCCTTCACTGTTCCAAGGAAGCCCAGCAGCTCCTCAGACACGGTGCACTTCCCTGCATGGCCACGGCCTTGCCGTCCCTGGGGTTGTGCCGCCCACCCCTCCCGGCCCCAGCCCCTGCCAAACGGCGCCAACCTGCCCCTGCCGACCCAAGCAGGTGTCCTTGGAGTCCAACTCGTCCATGAGCTCCAATACGCCACTGGTCCGCATCGCCAGGCTGTCCTCGGGAGAGGGTCCCACACTGGCCAACGTGTCTGAGCTCGAGCTGCCTGCTGACCCCAAGTGGGAGCTATCCCGGTCCCGGTCAGTGGTGGTGAGGGGCCGGTGGGGCTCTGTGCTGGGTGCTGGGCTCAGACAAGAATGGCGTTGGGGCTGTGGAAGTTGTGGCTGTAGTGTGGTGGGTGTGAGGAGCCCTGTTGAGAGGGGCCTGGGCAACTACACTCATTGTCTTGGCCTTTATTGCCAGGCTGACCCTGGGCAAGCCTCTCGGGGAGGGCTGCTTTGGCCAGGTGGTCATGGCGGAGGCCATTGGCATCGACAAGGACCGTGCCGCCAAGCCCGTCACCGTGGCTGTGAAGATGCTGAAAGGTGAGTGGGGAGGTGGCAAGGAGCCCCATGGGGCCGTGGGTGGCACCATCTGACGTCTCTTCCCCTTCTGGGTACAGACGATGCTACTGACAAGGACCTTTCAGACCTCGTTTCGGAGATGGAGATGATGAAGATGATCGGCAAGCACAAGAACATCATCAACCTGCTGGGGGCCTGCACGCAGGGTGGTGGGTGTCGGAAGCGGGTGGGCAGGGTGGGCAGGGAGAACGGAGGTGGCGGGGGCTGCTCGGGCAGCCCTTGAGGTGCCTGTACCCGCAGGGCCCCTGTATGTGCTGGTGGAGTACGCAGCCAAGGGCAACCTGAGGGAGTACCTGCGGGCTCGGCGGCCCCCGGGCCTGGACTACTCCTTTGACACCTGCAAGCTGCCCGAGGAGCAGCTCACCTTCAAGGACCTGGTGTCCTGTGCCTACCAGGTGGCCCGGGGCATGGAGTACCTGGCCTCCCAGAAGGTGAGCAGGCGGAGCAGAGATGTAATGTAGTCTGCCTGTGTTGGCTGCCGGGCAGACCCAGCCCTGGAGCAGGATGGAGGTGCCCCAGGCATCACATCCCTGTGTGCCCCTACCCCCACAGTGCATCCACAGGGACCTGGCTGCCCGCAATGTGTTGGTGACTGAGGACAACGTGATGAAGATCGCCGACTTCGGCCTGGCCCGTGATGTTCACAACCTCGACTACTATAAGAAGACCACCAATGTGAGCCTGTCCCCATCCCCAGGAGGAGCAGCTGAGGCAGGGCATGCCCAGCAGCTGACACCTGCCCTTTTCCCTCAGGGCCGGCTGCCTGTGAAGTGGATGGCACCTGAAGCCCTGTTTGACCGAGTCTACACCCACCAGAGTGACGTGTATGTGATGGGGGTGGGGGCTGGGGGTGAGGGTGAGCTCCCACCCTCGGCCCACAGTGACACGTCCTGGGGTGGGGGCTGTGGAGGGAAGGGGCCCCCAGCACGCAGGGCACTGACTGGGCCCATGCCTGCAGCTGGTCCTTTGGGGTCCTGCTGTGGGAGATCTTCACGCTAGGGGGCTCGCCATACCCTGGCATCCCTGTGGAGGAGCTTTTCAAGCTGCTGAAGGAGGGCCACCGCATGGACAAACCAGCCAACTGCACGCAGGACTTGTGAGTGGCCTCATCGCAGCAGCCTGGGCTCCAGGGTGGGTGGGGTGGGCGCCAGGCCAATGCTGTCACCCCTGGCCACAGGTACATGATCATGCGGGAGTGCTGGCATGCCGTGCCCTCGCAGAGGCCCACCTTCAAGCAGCTGGTGGAGGACCTGGACCGCATCCTTACTGTAACATCCACCGATGTGAGTGTCACCCCACCCCCTGTGCCCAACAGGAGCTCGCTCCTGGTGGGTGCGCACTGACCAGGCCACTGCCCCTGCCCCCCCTGCCCGCAGGAGTACCTGGACCTGTCAGTGCCCTTTGAGCAGTACTCTCCCGGTGGCCAGGACACGCCCAGCTCCAGCTCCTCGGGGGGCCCCATGCCCAAGCCCAGTGCGGATGGACACAGACAGATGCTGCATCTCTGTGAGGGAGAGGTCTCGAGGCCCAGGCACAAGGTCCCCGGGGCATCTGCGCTGCTGTACAAGGCCCTCCTGAGTGACTGGCACCAGGAGGCCAAGGGACCTTGCTCCGGGGATGCCAGACTTAGAATGTAAGGGGGCTCCCACCTCCCTCAACCCCACTGCCACCTCCAGGGAGCATCTCAGAGTGGGCTGCGCCCCCCTCCAGTCCCCCAAGCTGAGCCTGCAGGGTATCCCCTTGCAGCGAGTCCTGACCCCGCAGGGCATCTTGCACCTGGGGCTGAGCAGAAGCTCCCCCACTTCCCACCCTGCCCCTCAGACTGAAATTACGGGTACCTGAACGAGGGAGCCTTTACCTTCTATCTGAAAGGGTTATTCAAGAAATGAGTGTACATTTCTATAAATAGATGCTGTGTATATGGTATATGTACATATATATAAGAGTATCTATGTGGGAGAGGAGGTGGCAGGGCCTGTGTGGGGAGGGCCCATGGGGGTGGGCGGAGGAGCAGAAGGGCTTTTCTGGCACCGCAATTTTGTTTTAAAAATTGTACCTACAAGTTCGAGGCCAGCCTGGGCTACTTAGTGAGTTCAGAGCCAGCCTGAACTACAAAGTGAGACCCTGTCTCCAAAAAAATTGTACCTGGACCTGTATATTTGTAAAGCTATTTATCGACGCCCAAATCCCTGGCCTCTCCACATGAATAGTGTTTAGCCGGTCACCGGCAGAGATTTAAGTTGTAACTTATTAATAGCTGAGGTGGTTTATGCTGCGTTTCGAGGTGGTGAGAATGTACGTTCAGCCGCAGGCCGCCTCGCAGGCTGTGTTGCTGGAGGTGGGTCCAGTGAGCATTTTTCCTTTGGCCTTTTGCAGGGGAATTAGATTTCTACAGGATCTTTCTTTAGATTTATTTTTTGGACTTCAGAGCAAGCTGGTATTTTCATACAGATTCTTCTAATTACTGTGTATTCCAGGCAGCAGCCAGTGTCCAAGGAGGGCCGGCTCTGCATGCAAGTTCAGATGTTATTAGATGTTACAAGTTTATATGTATATATATATGTATATGTATAATTTATTGAGTTTTTACAAGACATATTTGCTGTAGACTTAACACTTCTTACGCAATATTTTTAGACTTTTTATAGCCTGGACTGCTACCTTTTAAAGCTTGGGAGAGAGACGTGAATTTGTCTTTTTTTTTTGGTACTGGGGATTGAACTCGGGCCCTTGCACTTGCAAGGCAGGCAGCAGAACCACTGAGCTAAATCCTCGGCCCTTGTGAATTCAGTTTTGTTCCCTTTTGTACTGTTTTTGGGCCCGAGCCTGAGTGGCTCACACTGCCCGTCTATCGCTTGCTGGCCAGCCAGCAAGGCTGGGGCGGCCACTTGGATCTTTCCTCAGGGCCCAGCCATGGCCAGAAGTGTTGGCCCACACCAGCAGATGTGACTTTGTTAACCCAGATGTCCTTTCCAAGAATAAAGAGACACTGGTTCCCAGCCCCGCCTGTGCCTCTTGCCTGTGTCCTGCCTGGGCTGGGAGGGGAGCCCCCAGCAGCGGGGGAAGAGCAGCTGCTGCAGTCCCCAGGTGAGGGTGCTCACGTCCTAGACCTGGCTGCCCTGGTCATGCCTGCCTTCCTGGTCTCTGACTCTCACGCCTGGCCTGGGAAACGTGTCCTAGATGGATGAGGCGGGGGTGGTGGTAGTGGTGGTGATTTGTTCTAGTCCCCAGGCCCTGAGGTGCAGCAGGCAGAACTTCAGGGGGTGCCACTGAGGTCTGGGTCCCAAGGTGTCTGCAGGAGGAGTTATGGAAGCACTGGGCCTGTGTCTGCCTCCTGAGGCCCACTGGGCATGGGGCTTTGTCCAGGCCCTGGTGGCTGGGTCTGAGGCCTTCCTGTCACCCTGCCCCAGGAGTCCCTGCATCCCCACCAGGCCTGGCCACACCCCTGCTCCTGCCCAGCTTCCCACCTGGGTAGGTGAGTGAGCAGTGGGCATGGCACATCGCCCACATGAGGGGAACAGGTGGCCCAGGGTGGCTGGGGATACCTGGAACTGAATGACTTCCGCTGGCCACAGGAGAGGGCAGATGCTGATGCTACCCCATGCCTAGCACCACTCAGGTTAAGGTCGGGGGGCTTGGACACCACAACCCTGGCCGGCAATTGCATAAGGAACACCATACCCCCAACCCCCAGGTTGTCCTGGCCACATGGACACCTGGTGACGCTGACCCAAGGGGAGTAGACCAGTGGAGGCAGAGTGAGCAGAACGGCCAGGCAGGTAGAGCATAGGTGCCTCCTAGTGCTATGTGGCTGAGCTGCACCCCAAAGCCCTGTCCTGCCTGGGCCTGGTGGGCCCCCAGGGTGCTTGCTCCAAGAGGTGCAGCTGGGGTGGCCAAGGTGATGCCTAAAGCAGATGCCTGCCCTCCTCTGGGGTGATGGTGCTGGAGCTCACCCTTGGAGCTCCCCTTCCAGTCCAGAACCCCCTGCCCACTGCTGAGGAAGGGTTCTGTGGTCACCAGTGCCAGACAGGACAGCTTCTGGCACTACCAACAGCCCTGCAGCAGGACACCTTCCGGTGCTCCAGCGCCCCCTGCAGGCTGTCCTAGGCAAGCTCCCAGGAGAGTAGGAAGGGGCAGTGTTTCTCCCCAGTGTTGTGCATTCACAGTTGGCAGTGGGCACTGGGGTGCATGTGTCGGCTATGGCAAATGTTGCCCTTTGCGCTGGTGGCTGTTGTCCCCAGCTGGGCCCCCAGAGGTGCCCAAGGTACCAGAGGTTAGAATGTGTCCAGAAAGAGGCAGCCAGGTGCCCACTGCCATCTAGCTCAGGGCCCTGAAGATGGGCTGGCCTGAGCAAGGACCCTGAGCAGCCTGGTACCCAGGGCACAAGGAGGAGCAGCCTGTCCCCTAAGGTGGTCGGTGGGTCAGGAGAGGGCCTGTGCGCAAGCGCTGTCAATCAGGTGCAATTTAAGGGCAGTGTCCCAGGACCCCAGGGGCCTGACGCATCCAAGGGTCTTCAGGGTGGGGAGAGTGACCAGGCATCATGGCCACCAACCTGGACAAACCACCATGGGCCAGATGAGTCATCAAGTGGCACTTTATTACACTGTCTTCTTACATCAAACCGTCAAACTGTCTAGAAAGCATGCTTGGCCCGTCAATGCAGAGCCCTGGGCCAGCCTGGCACACCATGTGAGGTCTGCCATGACAGGACTGGTGTCAAAGGACAGGGCAGGAGGCCAGAACCAGGGCTGGAGCCCTTGGAAAGGCAGGGCCCATCCTGCAGCCCACAGCACCATCACAAAAGCAGGGACTTCAATAATGCTGCTTCCAAATCAAATGGTGCAAAAACACTATCTTGAGCTGCTACAGGAACATGGACTTGATGTTTTCATAAAAACAGTATTTTTAGCCGGGCATGGCGGTGCACGTCTGTAATCCTAGCACTCAGGAGGCTGAGGCATGAGGATCACTATGAGTTCGAGACCAGCCTGGGCTACATAGTGAGTTCCAGGTCAGTCTCAACTATATAGTGAGACCCTGTCTCGAAAAACAAAACAAAACAAAAAAGTATTTTTTTACATAGCAGGTTACACATGGTCAGGCCGTAAGATGGAAAATGGCTCCCTTGCCAGTCCCCGGGACCCTGGTGATAGCCATCCCCAAGAGGCCGCTTTTAGAAATACACAGTGCCCTCCATGTTCACAAAGTCCAGACTGCTCTTCCACAAGGATGGTCCCGAATCCCTGAGTAAGAGGGGTGTGCATGGGGGGGAGAGTGGTGAGGGGATGCACGCAGTTCTTGGAACCCTTTGAAGGCCGGTGCAAAATACAGGCAGTGTCAGCCAACACAAGCCCCACTTCCTTCCGATGGATCTAGTCCCACACCGCACTGAGGAGCAGCAGCAGCAGTAAGTTAAGGTCAGTGCAGCAACACAATGAGAGGAAAGCTCCCTAAAACTTCCGGAACCTCCCACCACTGCCACCAAGCCCTGTGATACCTGGAGGCAGAGGCCAGCCCTGAGGTGATGCTGCACACCTGCAGGGTCGACAGTACTTGGCCCAGCCACCAAGGGCAAGGTCAAGAGCAGGACTTGGCAACAGGCCTGTGGGGACACACACTGGGTATTACAGGCCTGTCCTCAGCAGCAAGTATACTCCAACAGCTGGGGCTGGGATGCTAAGGAAGGCTGGGCTGATGGCATTGCAGCGCTAGACAGGTGTCCTCCCCAGAGGATGGAAATGTGGCCAGCCTCGTGCAGGAGTGTACAACCTCATTCCTACTTGGTCAAGTTCTGCCCTAAGCGGCAAGAAGCTTCAAGTAAGTGAGGAGGTTCTCCTGCCCTGTGCTTGCAGCCACCCCTGGCCCCGTTCCTATGTCTTCCACAGTCCTATGTCTTGAGTCCCCACAGGACACTCCTGCTGGTGATCAAGGCCCCGAGGGACCACCTGCCTGCCACCAAGGAGAAAGGCCCTGGCCACTCCCCAGGGAGCTGTGGACCTGGGGTGTTGGTGGCCTGGCTGAGAGCCTGTGGGGAGGCCACCGTCCACGTGACCCTTCCTCCCTCTTGGCCACCAGCTGCGGCACCTGGAGAGAACCAGTTGGTCCCCAGGATAGGGGTGAGGCCGTGGGGGGACCCACCTGTTCCCGCAGCCTGGTGGGTTCACCTCAGAAGCCACACGGGCCATGTGGAGCTGGCGGGGGATGGGGGCCCGGGGCCTGACTGGGCAGGAAGGCAGCGTTGCATCATCCAGTGTGGAACACCTCACGCCCAGGCTTGAGGGCCCCAGTCCAGACTTCTGTCAGATGCTACTCAAGAGTTAGGCAGACTGTCATGAAAATTAATGAATGAATTAGGTGCAGATCTAAAGTAAATCAAGAAAGAGTTCCAGTAGACACCACGGGATCCATGAATGACACTGGTGTGCTGTCGGGAGAGGCACGGAATGGCCAAGGACACTGGCCTAGCAAACACGTGCACGGACAGACACTGACATGGACAGTTCAGACGCAGAGTCCGTGGACTGAGCAGAGGGGCGATTCCAGAGCCAGGGGCTGTTGTTTGTGATGTCCACAGTGCGGCACATCTGGGTGGCTCTGCCCGGCACCAGCTGCACACGTCCTCACCTTCCTCGGGATGGTGGGTACACAGGGGAGCGCGTTCCTGCCCAGCCTGGCCGAGCAAGCCACCTCTGAGCCACTCAGCACCACACCACGGTGTGGGTCCAGCCACGGTTCCCGGAGGCTCCTAGGAATCCAGACTGGGTCTTTGTGGAATGATGAAAATTAAAATTACTTGATTACAGAAGTTTCTGATTTATTCCAGACCAAATATTAGGATCACCACAGAATCACCTCAAAGCGGTCACTCTCACGTCATTCCCACCATGACGGGGCGGCAGGCAAAGGCATGACAGGGCCACAGGCCTAGTTCTTCACCTCTGCCGCCTCCTTCTCAGCCTTCTCCTTGGCCTTCTCCTTTTCCCCCACCTTCTCTTCCTTCTCCAGTGTGGCCACGATCTCAGCCACCTGGCTGGTGGAGATGTGTATGTCTTCTTTGTCTACCAGCTCAATCACCTGCACAGAGGAGGGAGGCCATGCAGTGACTGTGGTCCTTCTACAGCCCAGCAAGGTGGAGCACTGCCCCTTCCCTGGGGCCACAGACATTAAGCAAGGCTGCCAGACCCAAGTCCTCGCCCCAGTGCCACGGTGCGGCCTATATGTGGCCTCCCCAGGGTAGAGTGTTGGGGGTGGGGGGGGCTGGACCGAGGAGGGGAGAGAGGTGCTGGGGACAGGAACCTGATGGCACCCTGCTTTCAGTGGAATGAAAGACATGAGTCAGTCTTTGTGGTCATGTCTGGAACTCCACTAAATTTCCAGGCCCGCTAGGGCCACAGGGGCAGTTTCTCTCCAGGACTATAAATGATTCAGGAAGGGCTGAGGTGCAGGAGGTTGGGTACAGATGCCCCAGGCAGGCTGCATCCTTCCAGGCCTTGCAAACTATCCTGAATCCCAGTGGCTGCACATGGGAGCCTGGTCCTCCTGTCACCTTCAGGCCTCAGGTGAGAAGCCCTGCAGGTGACTCATTCCATCCCATGCCCAACTGCCTGCCACGAGGGTCCGTGAGCAACAAACGACAGGTAGGATGGGCCTGGGGCACAGCTGCTTCTGCCTCCCAGGCTAGGGACCGAGGCAGAAGCAGGTGGCCTGCACCAGAGGGCACTCTCAGGACACTGCTGGCCATGTGTGGGAGAGAGTGCTGCGATACTAGGACGCTGGGCCACAGCTGTGACCCTGGCAGCAGAGAAAGAAAAGCAGGCTATGGCGGGACCCGGCTGGCTCCCATACCAGCACCTTTACACGCTGACGACCTCTTCCTTCCTGTGTGGCTTTGGATGAGAGCACAGGCCTGGAGGACACCAACAGAGGCCACGAGGTGCCCGCAACCCGCCAACTTGGCCCTCCCAGACCCACCTTGACCAGGTCGTCGATGTTGACCTTGCCATCCTTATTTTCATCCAGTGCAGAGGCCAAACTGACCAGCTTGTTTTCTGGAATGTGCTTGATTTGTTTCATGGCACTGATGAGCTCCGTGACACTGATGACGTTCTCCCTAGGGGCACAGCCTGCGTGTGGACTTCTGCACACCTGCAGCTCCTGCCAGTCACTCTAATCCTGGCAGCCGTGTGAACTTGGCAACCGTCAGATGGCCCATCGTGGAATCCCCTAGCCCGGTCCTGAAGGTGGTGTCCCTCTGAGACACCATGGGAATGGGTACTGCATGTGTGTGCATCCCCCAAGCACAGGGCCTGGGGGTGGAGTGGGCCCTGGTGCCAGCTGACTGTCACACCCTCATGGTGTCACTCTGTCTGCCCAGTGGGCTCTCACTTGAAGGCAGCAACCCCTGCAGCAAGGTGGGACACCCAAGCCACCGAGGAGATGGACAGCCTGGTGGCCAGGCTGCAGAGCAGGAAGAGGCGAGAGCCGGGCAGCTGGAGGAAAGAGATGCTAAAGGGAGCTGCTAGAGGGCAAGGGGAGAAGGGCAGGTGGGGGTGATGGGAACCAGCGCCAGGAGTGAAGGAAAGAAAACTACAAGCACGATGCCACAGGACTCCTCTGGACACGGTCCCTGGTGGGGTGTCAGGCTTAGAAGCCTGGCCACGCACCTGGGAGAAGGGAAGGGCTGAGCTCAGAGCCCAGAAGCCCACTCACCCCACAGCTGCGCCCTCGGCCGGGCCCAGCCTGCCAGCCTGCTGGCCTGCCTCCAGCTGCATGATCAGCCCGTCAATCTGCCCGATCATCTGCTGCACCCGCTTTGTCAGCCTCTTGCTGGCTTTTGATTCCTCCACAAGCTTCTCCTCCCCAGTCTTGGAAAGCTCCTTCTTGATCTCTTGCAAGTCCTAGTGAAATGACTTGAAGTTGTTAAGGAAGTCTGTCTTGAGCAAGGGAAAATCCTACATAAAATGAAAACCAATTCAGCACACTTAGGTGAGGTGCGGCTCAGTAGCAGTACCCCTGCCTTGCTTGCATGAGGCCGTGGGCTCCATCTCCAGCACCACAAAACAAAACAAAACAAAACAAAACAAAGCTGTTAATTCCAAACACAGAAAGCTGCAAAATCTTATTTCTATCCCACAAACTTCCTCTTACTATTGTGAACTCAAGTGATGCTGCAGAGAAAACAACCTATTCTCAATCTCAACTTTCTTCCTATTTGCTAAAGACTAAACAAATGAAGAGCCCATGGATCCCAAGTGTCCTTCTTCCCAGATTTGAGGTCACCCTGCCATGGAGCAAACATCACAGGGAAGGATGGGTAGGCAGCAAGGGGGACAAGATGCCACCTCGCCGGGTAACAAAGTGCAGCTTCCAAGAAAAAGCCACTGGCCAGGCTGCCACAGGGTACCCAGTGATGGCAACACAACTCTCCCGATCTCAGAATGCATCCCATTGCCCAACAGAGCTGCAAACACAGTTCTTTTCAGCAAATTGGAAAATAATATTTGTAACTTGTTTTCTCCCCACTGGGGATCAAATTCAGGTCCTTGAGCTTCTGAGGCAGGTGGTGGAACCACTGAGCTAAATCCCCGGCACATGCAATATTTATAAAAGAGGAAAAGGGGGACTGCGGGCAGGAAAAGCAGGGGGCTCAGTGGAGAGGCCTGCATAGCATACATGTGACCCTTAGGAAGTCACGAACAAAAACAAGACCTCACTTATCAAGGGACCAAACGTCCTCGGAGGCCGTCACGTACTCTGATGCCACAGCTGCATCTTGGTGTCTGCAAGGTCACTCACAGAGAACAGTGGGCACGGCCACACATCGGTGCCGAGGCTCTGGGGCGAGCTTGCCAACCTGCTTTCTCCCACGTTTCCTGGTATGTCACACATTCTTCTCTGCACGTCTCACTCGTGGCAGCAAAGCCCACACCCACCTCGCTGTAGTCCTGGACGTCCTCCTTCAGCAGCTCCAGCTCCTCCTTCTCCTTGGTCAGCGACTTCTTCTGCTCCTTCAACTTGGAGCAGGCATCGCTCAGAACATCGATTTCCTCCTTAGTTATTTCCTCTTCCTGGGGTTGGGGGGACAGAAGCAAACAAGTCTAAGCCAAAGGGAACCGTCGGCTTCTCTGCTGGTGCTGTAGACAAGCACTGGGGTCAGAGCCCCAAGGGAGACGGGGCCAAGCCTGCCTGCACCAAGCACCCATGTCCAAGGTGTCATGGGGGAGGTCCGGTGGGGGCCTGGGGGTCCCCACCCACAGTCACCCACAGTCAGGACAGTGACAGCCACCCCAGGCAACAGGGCTCTGCCAGCTGTGCCTCAGGCAGCCTGGACTCCAGAAGCAGAGTTCTCCCAGTGTGCGCTTCCTACAGGGTGAGTGTGGGCCCTGCAGGGCAGAGGAGCCCGGCCACAGCTTGCCTGTCCGCTCGCCTCAGCATGTTTGCCTGGTTTCTCATTTCCAGTGATTACAACTCAATCTGTTGGGAACATCTGGGTCTGAGCATGGGGGAAGCACCTAGGGGTGGATCAGCCTGTCAGGCTTTTTGGGGAGCTGTCTCAGTGGCTCCTGACATATCCTCAGCCGTGCCTGACTGAGGTGCTCCCACTTTCTTCCCAATGGGGCCGCGGATCAGAACCAGGTCCAGAACCTGCACCAGCAAGCATGCTACCTCTGAGTGAGTGCCCAGCCCACAGCCCTTCTCTTTTGCTACAGAGGGGCCAGGATCTAATGTTTGCTAGACAAGTGCTTTACAGCCTGCCACAGCCCCGGCCGTCCAGTGTGGGCTACCCCAACAGCCTGCACAGTGCCTTCCACCTCACTGATGGCCAGCGTGTGGGGTGCTCTGGTGCTTACTCGCCATCTGCACACCTTCTCTGCCCATTTCTACAACCACATCCTCCCCATTTATGAAGCTGAGAGTGGGGAAGTAGCCCAGACGCACAGTCTCTTGTCAGGTCTATGCTTTACCAACACTTCCTCCTTGCTGGTAGCCTGTTTTCATTTTCACAAGTGTTTCTGGAAGCAAAGTTTTCAACATTTGAAACCAATATACTCTTTTTTTCCCCCCAGTACCAGGGATCGAACTCAGGACCTGGTGCTTGCAAGGCAAGTGAACTTTTGTTATTTTTTAAAGACAGAGTCCCACCATGTAGCCCAGGCTGGCCTCAAACTTGGAGCGATCCTCCTGCCTCCTGAATGCTGGGATCACAGGTGTGTGCCACCACACCTGGCTTTATTTTTCTGTTTTATTGGCCATGTTTTCATGCTGTTTAAGAAACCTATGACAAGCCTAAGGTCACTAAAATTTTCTACTGTTTTCCCCTAGGAGTTTTTATGATGCTGAGTTAATTTTCACACACTGAGTTATAGAGATCGAGGTTCACTTTCTTACACACAGCTACCCAGTTGTCCCACACTCAGGAAAAGGCCATGCCTCCTGACCCCTCCGTGTACTCATTTCTGTACCCTCTTCAACTTGCTCGGGCTCCCTGCCTGCCTCACAGTAGTGCCCTTCCAGCCCTATCACACATCTTGCTAAGTGCAGCTAGATAAAAAGCTCTCGCTTTAGTCACTTCCTAAGGGTCATCTTGGCTCTCACATCCTCTGCATTTCCATATAAATTTTAGAATAAATTTTATGGTGGGGCACACCTATAATCCCAGCACTCAGGAGGCTAAGGCAGGAGGATCGTCACAAGTTCAAGGCCAGCCTAGACTACACCATTGAGTTCAAGGCCAGCTAGAACTGTACTATAGTGAGAACTTGTCTCAAAAAAAATTTTTTTTGCAGGGGTCGGGGATTTAGCTCAGTGGCTCCACGCCTGCCTCGCAAGCACAAGTTTGGTCCCTGGTACCAGAAAAAAAAAAAAAAAAAAAAGTAACTTTTTCAATTTCAACAATAATAGCAACAATAAATAAATAAATAAAAACTTTTGTGGTTTTGTCGGACTGGAGGAAATCTACAGGTCAGTTCAAGGTGTAGATGGTGCCTCACATCTGTAATCCCAACACTCTGGGAGCCTGAGGCAGGAGGATCTCAAACCGAAGCCCAGTCCAGCCAAGATAGCAAACATTGTCTCATGATAAAAAAAATTCTGGGCTGGGGATTTGACTCAGTGTTTCCACCCGCTGCCTCACAAGCAAGCGCAAAGACCAGAGTTTGATCCCGGTACCCCACCCAAAAAAAATAAAAACAAAGCAATAAATAAATAAATAAATAAAATTTAAAAGGCTAAGGCTGTAGCTCAGTGCAAAAGCCTTGAGTTCAGTCCCCAGGATCACCCAAAACCAAAAATACATATAGTTAGCCAGGGATTTAGCTCAGTGGTTCCACTCCTGCCTTGCAAGGGCAAGGACGAGTTCAATCCCCTGTACCAAAAAAAAAAAAAAAAAGACAAAAATACATATAGATCAGTTCGAGGAGAATTAATGTGGCAACTACACTGAATCTTACACTGAGGACTATGGCACATCTCACCATCCACATTTTTAGCTGATCTCACAACACTGTCACTTTCAGATGCTGAGGTGGAAAGGGTGGGTGTCAACTTGGACCAGCGTCGGGAGCAATTCTACATAGTTTTTGGAAAAAATCATCATTAAGGCCAGTTTTCCTGTCTACAAGCCAACTACTGGCACATCGAGACATAACTCTATCTTCGCCTCCAGTCACAATTAAGACTCTAAGGGTCCCAAGATGCTGCGATGCTCCAGGGCAGGACCACACCTGTGGAGACATCCAGGGAGAAACCAAATGTTCATCTGCATAGTTCCTCACTGTTCTAGGACTTCTGCTGCCTGAGTCGTCTGTTACATTTGTTTCTTCCAGTGTACTGAATAAAAGTGTGTCAAGCTCTGGGGCTTTCATCTTTGCCACCCATAGCAGCATTGATCAGACCCAAAGCTCAGCTTCTTCTCAGAGTCTCATTTTTCCTATCTGTCCTGTATAATAAGTTAATCCTCCTTGTGCTGTCCTGGCTCGCAGGAGACTAGGACTTACTGCAGAGGTTCTAGTAAAGTCCCCTTTCCCTGTTTCCTACAGACCCGCTTTTAGGATCTGCCTGGGGCCAGTGCCATACAGTTCTGGGTGTATCTGGGTGGGTTGTGGAGGCATGGCCTGGGGGTCTGTGTCTGGCCCCTTCCTCTCTGGCATTGTTCCTCTGCTCTGTTTCCTGGCCACCATGAATGGCACACCTTGCTCCACTGTGACGGTCCTGCCTTGGAGCCAGCAGGCCACAGACTGAATCCACCAAAACCATGAGCCAAAATTAAAACTCTCCTTCTTTAAGTTGTGGGTGCCAGGTGTTGCATTCAGCAACAGGAACGTGGACTGACACATTTCCCAAATTCACTCAGAGGACACTACTGAAAATGAGAGCTTTTAAGCAGCATGGAGAGAAGCACAGTCGATTCTACAGTCAGATCCCTTGAGAACAAGGACTCCCTGTCTTTCCTGACTTCGACGGGAGCACTGCGGGGCGTGCCCATCTCAGGGTCTGTCAAGCCGACACTGCTGCAGATGCTGAGGTGCCTCTAGTGTGCTCTGCGTTTGGGCTGTCATGCCTGCTCTGGGCAGCATAGGTGACTGGAGGCTGCCGTTCTTGGCATGTTAACATGGCACCTAGAGACTGTCTATTACAATGCTAAGCCAGCTTGTAATCCCAGGACAAACTGCATGTAGCCACAGCTTTTTTCATGCAACAGTGCACCTAGATCTGCTAGTTTGTTGAGAATTCTCAAGTATGTGCACCCAGAGTCCTTGACCCCAGCTGGGACTCAGCAACAGGTGGCCCACGTGAGGGACGTCTGCTTCCTCTCCCGCCTGCAGTTCTGCTCCTTACACCCAATCTTCTGTGCTCTGGGGCCAGATACTCCCATGACCTGGTGCAGTCTGGGACAGGGCTCCCTTCACGAAAGGGTTTTAGCTGTACTTTCAACCCCATGACAAGGAGTGCTTAGACACAGGCCCTGTGTGCAGTGCTGTCCACGTGAGAACTGCAGGACTGGGAGGCTTGGCTTTTCAACACTTTAAAAGATTGTGCGCTAAGACATCTTGGTGACAATTTAGGCCTCAGTTCTAAACCTCCTTCCCCAGCTATGTCCTCAATCGGCAGGAAACTGATCCCACTTATTTCTGAGTCTACCCAGCTGCCCTCACTGCTGAGAGTCCCTCTTCCCCATGAGCTCACGCCTGGCTCTTATGGGGCTCCGCACCCTCCCCGTGGGGCAGGACTCCCAGTTGCACCCTGAGGCCTCCTCACCATGCCCTGCCATCACTTCCTCTCAATCACAGGCCATAGGCCCCGACCCCCTCCCTAGGCCCCATGCCACTGACCTTCAAGCCCTCCAGCACAGGGGCAGTGTCCTTCAGGGCCTCACAGGGCAAGATCACATCAGGCACTTCCAGCTGCGGCTCGGCCGCAGGCTTCTTGAGGGTGATGGCACCCACACCTTCTAGCTCAGCACTCTTCTGAAAGGCGAGAAGCAGTGCAATCACGCCAGCAGCCTTGCTGGGTGCCACATGGCACCACATGCTGAGAGAGGCTCACTCAGCAACAGTGGGACCTACAGACCCACACACACGATGGCTGCACAGCCAGAGGGCAGCAGAGGGCTCGCCTGCCTCTGGTCCTCCCTTAGGACCTTGCAGAGCAGAGACTGGGGCTCAGGTGGGCATGGGGAAGCCCTGGGGGACGCAGCCCCAGGCACACAGGCCCTTGCAGCCTCTCCTGGGGGAGTAGAGGCATGGCTCTGAGAAGGTGGGTGCCACAGCTGGCCTTCTGCATCTGGGCCCATGAAGATGGCCAAGCGTGTTCCCCACTAAGGGTCTCCTGTCACCAGCGCCACCCTGACTACTCCTCAAGACAACACGAGGGACAGTGTTGGCCATGGCACTGCTTACCGCTGCCTCCACCTCCACAGCCCGCTGCAGCTCCTTCTCGCGGTGCTCCTGCTGGATGGCCGCCTCCTCCTGCAGCGTGGCCTCTAACTTGGCCTTGTTGTCCACCTGCTCGCCTTCCACCTCAGCTGCTTTTACCTGGGCCTCCTTGGCCTACAGAGGAGGGGTGCCTGGAAGTGAACCCACAGCCCCTGCCCCTGTGTCACCATCTGCTTCACACAGGGGACAGAGCAGTCTTGGGATACTGCAAATGCAGGCTGCAGACCTGTTTTCTCAGGTGACACACACAGGGCAGGGCTGCCAGACTGGAGCTGGTCTCCAGTGCTGGGGACTGTTGCTGTGAGCAGCTGGCTGGGACAAGGAGCAGGGCAGTGGGGAGGAAAGTGTGCCAGTCCCCCACTCCCAAAAGGGGCAGTCCAAGAGTCTCCTGCTGACACATACCACAATCTCTGGGAGGGTCTGGAGTGTAGACTTGAGCTGGTCAGCAGGTGAGAGAGTGTCGGGGAGATACATGGCCCGAGACAGCACGAGCAGCGATGTGGGCACCTCCTGGTGCAGGTGCAGGTCCAACCACTGCAACCAAAGACAGGCTCCTAACATTCTGCCTGCCACCCGACCCCATTGGTCACCTCCCAGGGCCTGGGGCGTTCTGCCTGGAGCTTCTGCTGTAGCTCTGGTTTGCTAAGGAAGGAGGAGTCTGGTGGCAACAAGCCAAGTAGAACCTAGCAGATGGATTCATGAGGGCACTTAACAACTTCACAGAGGCGTTTCCACCTGCTGCTCTCTCTTGGGAACAATAACCACCGTGGTACACTGGACCTTTGGCTCCCGTGCCAGGCTGCCACAGCCCTGACAGCTGGCAGCACGACTTCCCTTCACCAATTCTCCACACTCACTGCCACAGGCCAGGCGCGTGCCAGGCTGCTTTAGCAACACCAAGACAATTTCAAACACAAAAACAATGACCACGTTTGGACATGAGCTGAACATAGGGCAAAGGATGAGAACCAGTGCTCAGAACACGGTAAAAATGTAGAGCCAAGGGGATCACAGAGGGAGATGTGGATGGCTCAGCCTGCTCTCCCCACCATACTGCAGCCCCACACAACGTGCAGCCTGGTAAGGCACATCATGGCCCCTGCTCAGGTGGCTCTGTGCAGCTGGGCTTGAAGAAGACCGGACAGCTGGGGATGGCAGGCCCTGCCAGGGGCTGCTGAAGACAGAGACAGAGGAAGGTAAGGGTGCAAAGGCTCCTCTCGAGAAATGCAGCCGTCTCAGAAGAAGTGGGATTCGCACATCCTAGACTACATCCGGAGGATACAGGGGAAATTGAAGGGCAGAAGCCAGTGCCCAGGCACCTGCTCAGAGGTTCCCATGCCAGGCTGCAGAACAGAAGTGAGCTCCTGGTGCCCAGACCTTCCCAACCCAGCCACAGACACTGTCAAGGTGCAAGTGGACCCACCCTCACCTGCCCTCAGGTAACCAGAGACAACCACAGCAAAAGGCCACCACAGTGAGAATAGGCACACTGCACACGAGAATGCTCCAGGGTGAGTTGAGACACCCCTAAAATGGCCCAGGTGTCCCGACAGCCCCAGGTCCTCACTACCCTACCTGCCAGCCTGGACTTGGCAAAGCTTCTGGGAGTCTTTGAGGTCTCCTCCCTCCCTCCCTCTTTCTCTCTTTCTTTCTTTTGGCGATGCTGGGATGGAACTCAGGGCCTCCGCTGTGCTGGGCAAGCACTCACCACAGAGCAACACACTTGGCCTTGGCAGCATTTCCCACACAGGCCAGCACCAGTCTGGGTATAGTGGGTGGGCCACACACCTGCTTCAGCTGGCTCCGCAGCCGGTCCTCAGTGACGCCAAGAGCCCGCATGCCCCGCACCCGGCATGCCGCCTGCAGCTCTTTGACATTCAGGCTATCCACCCCTTCCTCAGCGATCAGCTACAATGGAAGAAGCCAGTTACACTCGGCAAGGCCAGCAGAGGTAGGTATGCTGATCTTACCACACCAGCAACCAAATTTCAAATCAGAAGCCCTTTCCAGGTAGCTGGGTGTGGTGGCGCATGCCTGTAATCCCAGCACTCGGGAGGCTGAGGCAGGAGGATCACCTCGAGTTCAAGGCAAGCCTGGGCTACACAGTGAGTTCAGGGCCAGCCTGAACTATAAAGGAGACCCTGCCTCAAAAAAAAACAAAAAAGAAGCCCTTTCCTAATGAGCTCTGCCAAGCAAAGGACAGAGCATCAGCCAGAGATTACATGCATGGGAGCACCATGTGGACCCCACAAGCATGGATGATTTCCATGCACCAGTTAGAAGTCGGGTGGTAAGAACAGAGAAAGCAGAGGTGAAGAAGTGGGGAAAGCTGGCATGGCCTGTGTGGCACAAAGCTCACCTTGTCATCGGCCTTTATGGACCGCAGCCGCATAGTGAGCTGAAAGCGCAGGAAGTTGTTGGTGCCGATGGATTGCAACTCCAGCAGCTTGCACAGCGCCACCAGCTGCGGCCGTGTGAGGTTGTCCAGGGTCAGCTCATCCTCGAACAGCTTGGAAAAGCGCATGATTTCCTCATTGCTGGGCCTCTCCCCCGTCTCACGGATCTGCAGAAGCAGCCCGGGGCTGGCTCACCCTGTGGTCAGCAAGCAGGTTCTCCAGCCCTGCTCCTGGCCTGGCCCCTCCCTGCGCTCTTCCAGGACCGGCACCCCCATCATGGAGGGCAGGGCCGTGTCAGCCTGCAGCTCCCTCCTGGGGCTGAGCACAGGGAGTGGGCAGCTAGCTCGAGCCATCCCAGGTGCCCCGAGTTCGACCCAAAAGATGAAGAGAAGAGCAGGGCCTGGTGAGGCCTGACCATGTGGGGCCCCACCCGGCTCAGAGACAACCAGCACCTTCTGGAAGAATGCAGAGAAGTCCTGGGTGGCACTGCCCTTGGCCGCCTTGTTCTTCAGTGCCATCTCCTCGATGGTGTCCTGGAGAAACTTGGCTAGCTCCAGCTTGACCCGCAACTCCTTCTTCAGCCTCTCTTCCTGCAACGGTGAGGCACTGTGCTCACCCACCTCACCCCTGACTACCACCCTGCCCGTATATCCACAAGCTGGTCGCTGAACAAGGCCACTGTCATCTAAGAGCAGCACTTTCTGAAACCCTCCCTCCATGCCAGGGCTTTGCTCTTCCCGTCCTTTCCTTTCCTTTCTTTGCCTTCCCCTTCCCTCCTTCCCCTCCCTCCCTCTCTTTCTTTCTAACAGTAATGGCAATTGAACCCAGGGCCTTTGCACTAAGCTACATCCTCAGACGTTTTTATTTTTCAATACCAGGGATTGAACTCAGGACTTTGCACGTGCAGTGCTACTGAGCTACATCCCTGGCCCAGAACATTTTTTATTTTTTATTTTGAGACAGGATCTGGGCCCCACAGGCTGGGCCCTACTTGCAATCCTCCTGCGTCAGCCTCCCAGAGTGCTGAGAGTATAGGCCTCTACCACCACACACAGTTCTCTCATGGCTTTTAATAATACAGGACTTATGTGCAAGGAGTGGTGGTGCAGGGCTACACAGTGAATTCAAGGCCAGCCTGGACTAAATAGTGAGATGCGGTCTCAAAATAACAACATAACAATAACAATTAAGTGTGACTAGAGCAGGGGCTGGCAAACCTGTCCCACTGGAGATGGACAGGGAAGCTTCTGGGCCACAAAGCTGCCATCAGACACAACTGCTCAACTTGCCTGGGCGGAGGCCTGCTCCCTTGCTGATGTGGATGCCACCCCTGAAACACCAGGTGCAGCTCAGGCAAGGACTGAGAGATTCCTTGGGGACACACTGGTGGCCAGGCCACCTCACCTTGATGGACTGCGTTTCAAACGTGGACGGCAGCATGTTGGGAAAGAGCTTCACAGCCACAGGCAGCAGGAACTCCATGAAGGGCACCACCACGAAGACCAGGAAGGGCACGAGGCGGAAGAGGTCAGCACAGATGCGAAGAAACTGGAGAGAGACGGGCTATGTCAGGGGACCTTGCTATCATCGCTTAAGGCACAGCCACAGTGGGACCCAAACTCTAAGTTCCAAAACCACACAGCACACACCTCCTACAACCCATTTCTTTCTCAAGGGTCAAGACCACATGCAGTACCCATCCAGGTGAGGTGGTGTATGCCTGCGATCCCAGCACTCTGGGAGACTGAGGCTGGAGGATCCCAAGTTCAAGCCCAGCCTGGGCAGGGCAAGTAAACAACTTAGACTGTCGCAAAATACAAAGGGGCTGGGTATGCAGGTCCCACATCCAATCCCCAGCACCTCAGCATCTTGCACCTGCTACACCATTTGGCCTTCAGCAGAATAAGCCAGAAACAGAGCACAAATCTAGCAGGACTCCTCCTATGGAAAAGCCTCAAGCCCGCAGATCCAGGAAGAGGAAGCCCGCCAAAGGCTGGACAGCAAGGTCCTCGCTTGCTTGCTCACTCAGCAGGGCTGCCTTACTCCAGCAGAGCCTAGCACCTGCCAAGAGCAGTCCCTACACCGGGATTCATGGCCCAACTGCCACTGTTCAGTGCGACCCACTCAGATAACGTCCATATGACTTTTCTAAGTTCTCACATGGTTGTCCACTGATTTCATGGTGACTATCTTAGTAAGAGACACTTTTTAGTGACCTTTAGTGAATTTTACGAGCAACGCAGTGAGAATGTCTCAAAAAATGTTTTTAAAAAAAGGATGAGGATACAGTTCAGTGCAAAGACCTTGGTTTTGGCTTCTGGTACCAAGAAAAAGAGTCAGTTTCTATAACTACCAGGACAAATTGACAGTTTGTTCAATCCAAATTACCTGAGACCTCAAACCAAGGAAACACTGGCCCTGAGAGCTGATGGGGCCTCAGCCTGCACCTGGCCAGTCCTGCCTGGCCTTGCTTGGCTGCTCTGACTGTGCGTTTTCCTTTAGGTCTCACTTTCTGCAGTGCAAAAGCAAAGATGGGCTGAGAGCAGCCGGGGGAAGGCGAGGGGCACAGAGCCCCTCCTGGCAGTGGAGGCTCTACCCCAGCCCTTCTCTATTTATCTAGCGTGTTTTAGATTACTATAACCCTAAAATACCCCACCATGAATAGTCTTCTTAAATCTGGTCAGGGTGGCATACTACCTGGGAGGCTGAGGCAAGAGGATCACAAGTTCAAGGCGAGTGTGGGCAATTTGGCAAGACTGGATTTTTGCTTTTTTTTGGTTGCGGGGGAGACAGGGTCTGACTATGTAGTTAAAACTGACCTAGAATTCACTATGTAGCCAAGGCTGGTCTCGAACTCACAGCAATCCTGCTGCCTCAGCCTCCCAAGCGCTGGGATTACAGGCGTGCACCACCACACCCAGCTCCTTGCTTTGTTTTTTGAGACAGTGTTTCACTATGCAGTTCAGGCTGGCCTCTAACTTGAGGGGGATCCTCCTGCCAGAGTTTCTCAAGTGTGGCATCGCCACACCCAGTTAGACTCTGTTTAAAATATAAAGTATAAAGGGCTGGGAGTGTAGCTTACAACAGAGTACTCCTTGCTTCAATCCCCAGTACTACAATAAAGTAGAAGTTATGGTAAAGAAATGAATAATAGTGAGTGTAGGCTTACACAAAAGTAACAGAAGCCCCAGGAGCCAGAAGCAATGAGGTGCTGAGGGAGGAGCAGACCCCAGGACTGCATTCTGGGTCACCAGATCTGGCAGCATCCGCAGGGCCAACATAGTAGGAAGTGGCTGGGCACCTGCGGGGGCCTGGAGGTGAAACACCCTGGAGACTGGAGACAGAGAAGGTGTGCACCACTCACCACCAGGGGAAGTGCCAGAAGAGAGACAGCTAAGCTCAGAGGGAAAGGGAGTGTGTTCAGAGTTGCTGAAGATGAAAGAGGAGGAATTAAAGACAAAAACAAAAAACAAAACACAAGAAGCGCAAGGTCCAGAGTTCAATCTCAGTACCAAAAAAAAAAGACCCTACCAGAAAGGCTAAAATAAACCAGTTTAAAATGGAGCTGGGTATGGTACCTGCTATCCCAGTACTCGCGAGGCAGAGGCAGGAGGATTGCGTCTACCTAATGAGCCAGGCTGAACTATAAAGTGAGACCCTGTCTCAAAAAACAAACAAACAAACAAACAAACAAACAAAACAATCAGAATTTATGAAGGGAAAAAGACACTAACCAAGAAAAACCTAGGATGAGCGTGTAGCTCAGTGGTAGACAGTGCAGCCCAGGTTCAATCCTCAGAACCACTAGAGGTAGATGGATAGATGGACAGACAGGCAGATAGAAAAAGCAAACCTCAGCAGATGCATCAAACAGACTACTTCAGCTAAAAAAGAACAAGCAAAATGCAAAGAAAGCATCTTCTCAGCTGCAGCCCTGAGACAAAAGAATTATCTTTTTTTGCTCTGTTTTGTTCATGAGCTGGGTCTCACTGTGTTGCTCAGGCTGGCCATGAATTGTTCTCTTCAAGTAATCTTCCTGCCTCAGCCTCCTGAGTGTCTGGGACCACAGGCACCAACTGAGAAGACCACAAAACCACACTGATTTAAGAGAACCCTTTTCAGACGAGATCAGGCACATTCACAGTGGTACGGCCACAGACAAGAGGAGCCTTTTCAGAGCCTGAAGACAGCAAGAGTGGGTGCAGCAAATGCCAATGAGGTGATCCCACAGCCCCAGTGCACGGATCCCACACAGTGAAAAGACTCCCCCAGGGGGACACATGAGCTCTGAACAGAGCTGGAGGCAGCAACACAGAAGAGGCAGACAGGCCTGGGAGCCAGCTCCTTGGGTGGCGGAGGCTGGCCAGCACCTTCCTGAGATGGATGCTGTCTTGCAACACAGTGGAAAGACTAAGGACCTAGCTCCGGGAAGAGCACTTGCCCAGACCGCATAGGCCTGGGCTCCATCCCCAGTAACAGAAGAAACAAAGGCACGTTGGGCGCCAGCAGCCACACAGGTGGGCTCTCAAGGAGCAGCACCAGTGTGCCTGGGCAGAAGGGAGCCCAGCGTCAGCAGGCAGATTGGCGCTGTTCTTACGGGCTGTTAGGTTAAGACGAGTGTTCCCCACAGGCCCCTGTGCTCAGAGGGGGCTCTGGAAGGGGACTGGACACACTATTCTCCTGAGAGCTCAAGGTGGGACGAGGGGATGCTGGGGTGTGGTCTGGAAGGGTGTGTCCCTAGCCCCACTCCACCCTGCTTCTCCGCCCCTCTTCTACCTCACCTCTGCCATAGACCCTGTTACTTGGGACTGAGCCAAGCAAAACTTTCCTCCTTCAAGCTATGGGCACTGGGTATTTCATCCATGTGACAAGAAAGTGACTAACACAGGCTTTGCTAAGTTTATGAACAGAAGCAAAGAGCAAACCCTAGCAGTGCTTTCCAGAGACCCCATTACCTGCCTACGCTCCCGGCGGGTCAGCGTGTGGCCATGCAGGATGCGCCAGAGCATGCGCGCAGCAATCTTGGTGTCGATCCACAGCAGACGGAAGCCATGGTAGTAGTGCTTGAGCTCGTCCAGCACCCTCTGCCCCAGCGATTTCTTCACGGCCACCGGGGCTGCTGGGCTATACACAGGGCCACCCTCCTCCAGCTTTTTGTTCTTGTCCTTCAGGGACTTGAGAGACTTCTCTACCACGGAGTCATCGCTGAGAGGGGGCGACGAGTGCCAGCCACGCACAGGAAGGTACAGGGGCCCCCGGACAAGCACACCCTCTGCAGCGGGAGTCCATGGTGCTCCTGCCACCACACACAGGCTCTCAGGCCTTAGTGTCCAGGGGCCACAGGGCTTGGCTCTGAGGCACAGGTACAAAGGGTGGGCAGGAGCACAGTAGCCAGAGGGGACAGTCCTTGAGAAAGGAAAAGGGACAATCATGAGAAGCCAGCACACCAACAGGGACATCAAGCCACACACCACAGAGCGTCACAACCACACAAACAACCCCAGCTGATGCCTGATACACAGGAACCCAAATGACATGTGGCTGGGTTGGGCTGCCCTGAATCACCCCTAGCCAGCCTCAAAGTCCCCAGAGAGACAGCAACATATGGACATGCACATGTGCCAAAGCCTGAGCCAGGAACGTGACCAACCTGTGGGTAAACCTGGCGTGGGGAGAGCAGTGGACTGCTTGGGGACCTGGGAAAATGGGGTGCAGAATACATCACCTGTCCAGTCCTGAGATCCTCTCCCTCCACAGGTAACACTCAGAGCTGAAGGTCCCAGGGCCAGGGGCAAACCAACAGAGACTAGGCTGCTCCACGGGCCCACCTGCCCAGCTTGGCCCCCATGCCCAATGCTGTCTCCGCTGTGTACTCACAGACTTTGTTACACAATGCAAATGCCACAAGGGGCACTGAAGTCCCAGCTCCTCTGCCCACACTGCAGCTTCCCTGTAGAAGCTAGAGGAGCAGCCACAGCAGCCTGGCCGGAGACCAGAGTTTGGAGCTCCTGGGCCCCATGAGGAGCAGGATGCCTGTCGTCACCAAGACTAAAGGGACACACACGTGGCTGTCCAGGGCTGTGACCTCCTGCTTGCCCCCTGCCACCCAGAGACTGCTCCAGCAATCTCCACGCCGGCCTCCAGCACCCTGTAGGTTGAGTATCCACACACAGCCTCTCCGCTGGCCACCCACAGGACACAAGAGGGCCTGAGCCCTGCCAAGCACCTCCAGGTGGCTCCTCTCCACTCCCTGGCTTCCATGTAGCCCTGACAAGCTAATTGGACCTGTGCCTGGGCCATTCCTTCTATGTCAGCCTATATCCAACCCAGGATGCTGTGTGCAACTACCACATAGGCAGGCGCCTGTCAGGAGGGCCAGGCAGGGCCACAGGCGGATCCATGGGACAGTGGACAGCAGCTCACCCAGGCCGGGGCATGCAGGTGGTCCCAAGAGGAGCAAGGGCACAGAGGCTAAACTACAGGCCCCATACCAGCTCCTCTGCTACCTGGAGGGTCCAGCTTCAGAGGGCAAGGGACTAGGCACCAGAAGAGGGTGGGGAGAGCAGAGCCACAAATGTGTGCATCCTCCTCAGTGTGTCTATGTGTGTTGCTCTGTGTGTGTGTGTGACCGCTCCCTCAACATGTCCTGACCATGCCCCTGGGCATGTCCATCGTTCTAAAGCCACTGTCCCACCCACCCAACATCTGTCCACTGTCAATTCTTGGGCATGGGATGGGCCTTGAACCCACCCTTCCCTAAGTCCCAGTGTCCCTGAAGGTCAGGCCACCTACAACACGGCACACTACCCTCAAGCTCAGAGCGCCACTGGGCCACTTGTGCTGAGGAGCAAGGGCCATGTTCTTGCCTTCTGTGTGCACCTATGCCTCGCCTTCAAGTGTGGGTGACGGGAGTGCCACATGTGGCACAAGTAGCACTCCCACCTCCATTAAGATGATTTATCCAACTCTGCATCCCTTTATGGCAGGGAAGAGCCTGGTTTCCACAAAAGGAAATGATGGTCAGCTGTCACAGAGGCAAAACAAGCATTGCATAAAGTCAACAGGCAAAACAAAGACCTGAAAACAGACCAAGTGGACAGGCATGGTGTCACCTTCCCATAATCCCAGAGGCTGAGACACAGGGACCTCAAACTCAAGCCCACCATAGCAACTCAGGGAGACCCTGTCACAGAATAGTAAAACGGCTGTGATGTGGCTCAGTGCGAAGGCCCTGGCTTCATTCCCCAGTAACACACACACGCACCCCACAGAACTCCCCCCCAAAAAAACAAAAAGCAGACAATGCAGAGAAGCACATGCTATCCAGTGAGGGTCGGGCAGCCCCACAGTCCCAGCTGTCTTCAAGTTCATCCGAGTGCTTATTGTCACCAATAATCTCACTAAAAATGTTTAACTATTTTCAAAAGGCAGAAAAGTATGCAATTCTTTTACCAGTGCCCACCAACACAAAATCAGTCCAGTTGCTTCTGGCTCTCAATCTGCAGCAGGGACAGAATCCAGATCTGGGAAAGCCAGGCCACCTTCCCTCTGCTCCATCACCTGACTTCTTCCTGCTTTTCCTTTCTTTTTGTTTGTTACTGGGGTTTGAGCCTAGTACCTTCCTATTGAGCTGCATCCCAGCCCTTTTGATTTTTTGAGACAAGGTCTTGTTCAGTTGCTTATGCTGGGCTTGTACTTACATGCTCCTGCCTCAGCCTCCCAGAGTGCTGGGATTATAGGTGTGTACCTCCACACCTGGCTTCCTGCCTTAGTTTTGTTTTTGTTTTCTGCTACATCACCTGAAAGTGGGGGAAAATCCATTTAGCAAAAACAACAAAACAAAACAAAAAAATACATTCCTGCCAGGCAGTTAAGCTGGCTACATGAAGATGCTTAAGTACAACTGTGAAGCTGTTTACTTGAGGATGCTGACACCTGTGGCCACCTGGACATCCTGTTGTCACCTCAAGACAAAGAAAAGTAAACAGTGCTTGCTAAAAGGAGCCTCACCACATCAGCTGCATGGCTCCAGGGAGGGACACAGAGTGGAGACCTGCCCTCCTGCCACTTCCAACTCCTGATGCTTGCCAACACACTGCGAATGCCACAGGTACAAACACCTGCAGGAGGCTCCCCAGGGCACAGCTCCCCAGGCAGCTCCAAAACTGCTGCCACAGGCTGCCACAGACAGGCACAAGCAGCCCAGTGACCCCAGGTTGAGTCAAGGACACCAACCAGATGCCACCCTGTTCTCAATGGATGTGATGCCCATGGGGCCCAAGCTGTCCCAGCAGCAAGAGACAGCAACAGGAGGGTCAGCTCCTGCCACCAAGAGGCAGGGTCTGGATATGTGAGACAATATTCTCCTTGGGGACCAAGGTGGCACAATCCCACAGCAGGTGTGAAAGCAGAGAAGCTGGAGGACCTGAGAGACTCAGTTACCATGCCCAGCACCTAGACCAGCAGTTCCAAGCTCAGACACACTGAGCACCGGCCACAGGCCTGCCACATCCTCAGCAGTCCCCAACACTGCACCGTCTCACCCACACACACACATGGCTGGCTACCCTGTTCCACAGCCTCCCTGCTCAGCAGAGCTGGGCACTGTCCATATCCTTTACTCCATGATAAATAAGATCAAAAGCTTTGAGAACACATCTGTGATTTGTCTCCAATCAAAAACACTCCACTGGGGGCTGGGGATTTACCTCAAAAGTGCAAGGTCCTGAGTTCAATCCCTGGGGGATGAGGGGAGACAGGGACAGAACACTCCACTGTCAGAGGCCTGGACCCTTTCAACTGAAGATCACAGTGGCCCTGAAATAACTTAAAGCATGATACTGATGGCTACCACTCACAGCAACATTATGACTCAAGATTTCTTACATGGTGCAGCCGAAATAAAACATAAAAAAATGTTTGAGTCTCATCCGTAAGTATTGATATAGCCAAGTGTAATAGTATCTGCCACACTCTGGGAGGCTGAGACAGGAAGGTTACAAGTTTGAACCCAGCCCAGGCAACTTACTGGCTTAGTGAGGCCCTATCTCAAAATTTAAGGTATATGAGTTCACCAAAACAGCTTTACCATTCTCGTTGTTTATAATATTCAAGATTCTGAACTTGTAAAAAAAACATATACTGGGCCAGGGATTTAGCTCAGAGGTTTGGTGGCCTGCTTTGCAGGTACCAGGGAGTTCAATCCTCGGTACCAAAAAAAAAAAAAAAAAAAAAAAAAAAAAAAAAAGTATACTAATAAAAGCACAGCTTTTATGTTTTATTTTTAAGTACCAGCAATCAAACTCGGGACCTTGTGCTTACAAGGTAGGCAGTGGCACCACTGAGCTAAATCCCCAGACCTTTAATCTTCTAACAGAAACCTAAAATGCTAAAAAGGTGCGCAACAAATCCAACATCCACTCCTAATAAGAACACTTTAGGGCCGGGGATTTGGCTCAGTGGTTCTGCTGCCTGCCTTGACAAGGGCCCAAGTTCGATCCCCGGTACAACAAAACAAAACAAAACAAAACAAAACAAACACTTTAAAGCTGGGCATGGTGGTACATGCCTGTAATCCCAGCAGTCAGCAGGCTGAGGCAGGAGGACTGCCATGAGTTCAAGGCCAACCTGGGATCTATAGTGAGTTCAAGGGTGGCCTACACTACATAGTGAGACCCTGCAAAAATAAATCAATAAAAGGGACAAGGAACAGGGATTTAGCCCAGTGGTTTCACCGCCTGCTTCACAAGCACAAGGACCTAAGTTCGATCCCTGGTACCAAAAAATAAATTAATTAATTTAATTTAATGAAAGGGATGAGTAGGGAACTGGGGGTACTGTTCAGTGGTAGAGCACCCTGGGTTCAATTCTACTACTGCAAAAAATGATTTTAAAAGTCAGGGGCTGGGCATGGTGGATTGGGTACTTAGCATGAGTGGAGGCCCAGGGTTCCATTCTCAGCACATGTGCGTGTGTGCGCACACGCGCACACCTGGAAAGACCAGGTAAAATTTCACAAGTCACTATTCCCAAGTGGCTTGGTGGACTTAGCAATAATAGTCACAATCCCAGAGTGTACAATTGGAAGACCACTCAAGAATTCAGAGGAAAGCCCAGAAACATGGTTCGAACCCGGTCTCCCAAGAAGGCTAGGACAGAGCTAGGGAAATGGTGGACAGCACAAGCTAGCACCAGAAAGGCCCTTGCCTGGGGCATAGGCACCCTGCCCTGCGGTGGGTTCATGCAGGTGAAGTGCCCCACAGGCCAGCTCCTCACCCACATCAGGGTCAAACTTCCCGTGGGGCCTCATTCGGCACAGCACCCAGTAGCTCAACCCACCACAGATCTGCAGTCCCTTCAGAGTAAAATCTAGACAGCAGCAGTGAGGTGCTCAGGGCACACAAGCCTGCGCCCCATCGGCACAGAGCCTTCCAGACAGCCTGGACTGAAATCCCATCCAGGGCTCAGAGCAGGAGCCGGGGCAGAACAGACTGGCCAGCTGTCTATCTAACCACGCGCTGCGTGGGAGCAGTGACCCTACACTGCCCTCCACAGGGGTGTGACCCTCCACATCACAAAGCCACGTATGCCTGGCTCCTCACCCAGCAGCCATAACACAGAAAGCAAACCTCACTCATAGTTTGTATTTTAGGGAGTTAAATCTGTCTCAGGAAGCCCCGCTGGATACATTTTATAGCTGAGATGAGACAGTTTAACAGCCTTTAATGAACATGAAAAGTCACAAACTTCACAGCTGTGAGGAGTGGAGGGAAAGGGCATGGGCACCCCACTCCCCCGCACCCCCAGGAAAGGGCCCTGAAGGGAGTGGAGCTGCAGCCAGGAGGGAGGGAGAGTCCCTCGGGACACAGATAAAACCAGGCTGCCACCAGGGGGGAGTGCAGGGGAAGCTAATTAAGTACCTGACAGGGAGTGTGCTGCCCTCCAGGAAGCTCTTTTGCACTGCCCCACTCTGGACAGTCACTGCCTATCAGTCACCTCCTGTCATCCTGGTAGGTGTCCAAGGGAAGATGTGCCCAAAGCCAGACACCCGTGTGGTCATCCCTGCCTGGGCACACTCCTGAAGAACTGAACGCATGCGAGGGTCTGCTCCATGCCCACTCACGGGTTCCCACAGTCAAACAGCCTTGGCATAATCATGCCAAAGGCAGCTGGGGGGAACATGGGAAAGATGGGTCCCCCTAGGCCCACAGCACCACATGGGCTATGATTACAACTGTGCTGGAAACAGACACAAAGAGTAAGGAAAACACACCAAACCACTAGGCGTATGTGTAACTGGTACTAGGTTTAAGAATATTTCTTTTCTTAAAATTGACTAATACAGTAATTACACTTTTCAAAATAACAATGCACAGGTTTAAAAGAAACAAAACAAAGAACAAGAAAGCAGGACTAGCTGTTCCCTGAGTAGCAAGCATCCCCACAAGCTCAGCATCCTCCAGCGGACAGGTGCAAAGGGACAGGTTTACTCACACTCGGCTCATCAACCCCACAGTGCTGGCATCCTTGAGACAAGTTCCATGCCCCAGACTACCTGTGACAGAAAGACAGACACAGTGAATAAAGGGGGCTCCACCAGGTAGCTCTCAAGTCAAGCGAGGGGGGCAGTTCCACATTGGAAGGCTCAGCGCACAGCCTACAAGGGCCTCCTGGTCAGGAAGCAGGATCTGGGGAGCTGGGCAGGCCGAGTCCAGGGACGGCCTGCTGGGTCCGCCCGCTGAAAATCCACCCTGCCAGCTTCAGCTGGCTCTGGTGGGCAGAGACCAAGACACACAGAAGCCCTGAAACAGACAGCACTACAGAATAAGCAATGACCCGGAGCAGCCAGGTGAGGACAACTGGAGAAAATGCCAGGTGGAAGCAGTTGCCTTCAGGACACTGAGGTGCTCCTGGTGCTCTCGCTGACTCACTGTGGTCCCCCTAAGCATGGGGTCAGTTTCCTGGCACCAACAACACTGAGCTGTGCGACAGCTGTAGGGGCGGGGTGAGGCGGGACAGGATGGGCCAGCACAGGCACAGCAGGGCCAGGGTGACATCCCCATGAGGGGCCAGGTGGCCAGGCAGAGGCCAGGCAGGCAAGGAGCCAGCAGAGCAGCAGGCAGAACCCAGAGATGCCATCTGGCCCCAGCCCTGCAGCCAGCGGGGCAGCAGTGAGGACAGCAGAGTCTCACTCTCTGCTGCTGACAGGAAACAACTCTCCCACTTCCATCCACATTTAGGGACTTGCAGCATTAGGGACAGTCTGACTAATAAGTCAGGGGCTGGGATCAGGAGGGCTGGTCACCACCATCCACAATTCATAACATAAAGATGGTGACACACCCCTGTAAATCCAGCACTCTGGGAGGCTGAAGCGGGAGGATGGCAAGTTTAAACCTGGCCTGGGCAGCTCAGTGAGACAAAAAAATTTAAAAACAGCTGAGGATGTAGCTCAGAGGTAAGGCCCAGGATTCAATCCCTGTATTAAAGGGGTATGGGGAGGGGTGTTAGCTACATTCTTATCAGTATCAAGTGTAACAAGTTAAATAAAAGGCCTAGGGAGCACCCTAAGCCTTTTCTGGCCCTTTCTCCACTATGTAGTTGAGACTAACCTGGAACTCACTGTGTAGCCCAGGCTGGTCTCAAACTTACAGCAATCCTCCTGCCTCAGCCTCCCAAGTGCTGGGATTATAGGCGTGCGCCACCATGCCTGGCTTCCTGGCCCTTTCTCCAGGCCAAGAGCGCCAATGCTTTCTCCTGCCTGGCACCCCTACCTGGCCCCCCAGTAAACAGCCTGGGAGGATGCTGAGGCCACTAGGGAAGGGTGTGTTCCTAGGTACCCAGGGCAGTGCCCACACTGCCAGCATTTTTACATGGAGGCTCCCATGACCCCCTCAGTTCTGATAATTTGCTAGAAAGATTCATGGAATCTACTCCACATCACAGTTTATCACAACACAGATGAGCAGCCAGGAGAGGCAAGAGGTGAAGATGGGGTCTCAGGCACCCTAGATCCCTTCCAGAGTCCCCAAGGCAGGGCTGACTCACCTTGAGCCCTCTGCACACCCTCCCCTGCTGGAGACTGGGGACCTGCTCCTCCTCAGGTCTATCTAAGACCCCAGAGCTCTCCTTGGCATGAATTCAAGTACTGTGAGCAACAAAGCCAATCCCGTTGCTCCAGAAATGCCTGTCATTCCAAGGCCTTGGGGCTCAATGCCAGGAACAGGAACAAAGGCCAGATATATTCCTCATTATAACACACCTATTTTTTTTTTTTTTGAACTATGGCTCTTGCCATATAGTTCAGACTGGTCTTGAACTCACCGTGTGGCCCAGACCTCGTGGGCCTCCAGAAGTCTGTGCTTCCCCAGCACAGCCCTCACATGGCCCCACCCTCTCCCTGGCAGCCCCTTTGTGGACTGAGGCATACAACCCGCAGGCCTGACAGCAGCTCCAAAGACTGCCTCGGCCCACACCTGCCCCTTCCTGGTCCTCTGGGCTTCAGGCAGGGGCACTACAGTTGGGCCTCACACTTCTCTCCCACAGAGTCCTCAGAGGCACTCACAGTCCCACTCCTACCACAGAAACTTCCTCCCAGAGAGGACTGTGTAGAAAGGGGAGAAAAGTAACTCAATATCAATGCTGACAAATCTGATGGCAGATTCTTGATAGGCTGTGATGAGAAAGATACTTCACTGTGGCTCAACTCTCCCAAAACCCACGGTTCCCAGTCATAATACAAGACAAATGTCAATAAACACCAATAAAAGGACCCTCCAGTATTATCTGCCTAGTACTCATTGAAACTGTCAGGGTCATGGAAAACTGGGAAAATCTGGGGATCTGCCATGAGAACTAAATGTAACGTGATGTCCCAAATGAGTCCAGGGACAGAGAGAGAACATCAGAAAAAGGTGTGTGTGTGGAATGAAGTAGGGAAGAAGTGGAGGAATCTGAATATAGCTCACTGTGACAAAGAATTGCAGTAAAGTGGGATGCTCCTGAGGGCCTGTGCAGGGTTCAGAGACCTGCTGCCAGGCTGCCCTGAGCTCTGAATTCCCTGTTCATCCCACAGCAAAGCAATGGTCTGACCACTATCTACCCTCTAGTGCCTAATAATAACAGTAGACAACACTCTTGCTCCTGGGAGACCAAAACCATTAAAAAAAAAAAAAGCTATTTTTTTTCTTGAGACGGGGTCTCACTAGGCAGTTTAGGCTGACCTTCGACTCTGTAGCCCAGGCTGGCCTCAAACTCATGGCAATCCTCCCGTGTCGGCGTCCAGAGTGCTGGATTACAGGTGTGCACCCACCATACCTGGCTGAACCAGCTAATTTTTAAACCATAAACATGCCATAGGAATGTGAAATGACGAAGTATTTTATGGCCATCAACAGGTACAAAAAGCTCTCCCAGCAGCACAGGCCTAAAGGCTGCCCTCACCCCACTGGGCACTTCCCCAGCTTGCACTCCTTCCCAGCCAAGACCTCAGTTTTTCCTGGGGTTTCTGTAAACCTGAAGGCTACTGGAAATGGGTTCTGTTTCTTGGGTCTCTCACTCTCACAGAGCAAGCTTTCCCCTTCCCTCAACCTTACAGCAGGACCCAAATCAGAAGGCTCACTGAAGATGCAGCTCCCTCGGCTGAGCTGAGAGTGGGAAAACAGGAAAATCTTCGTGTCCGTATCCCAAGAACAGGGACCCAGGGTCTGTCCTGGCCCAGAGGCCTGTCTCCCGAGTGTGACCAATGGGTATTCCTGCACTCTCCAGCTCTACATCGTCAGGGAGGGCAGTGCCAGGGCTATCCCCGCCCTGTGGAATTTTCCCAAACTCTGTCAGAGACAGTGACCTGGGGCGACCCAGGCAACTAAAGTCACGCCACTGCCTAGCCCAGGCCAGGCCTGACATCACTATGTCGCAGCTCCAAGTAAAAGGAGCAACGGGGAAGGCTGGGACAAGGAGGCGGGGAGATTGGCACTGCGAGTAGGAGTACGGCCGGCCGGGGCATGCCAGGACGGGACAAGCCATCTGGGAGGACGCTGACGCGGACAGAGACGGGATGCGTGGGGAGAGACGCGGGCAGGGAGAAGGACCGGGACATTCAGGAGGAAGATGGGCAAGCGGGAGGACCAGCACAGCGGCGAGGGACCAGGGCATACAGGAGGAACGAGACACGAGCGAGGGACAGTCGCAGCAATGCCCCCTATGCCGTAGCACCGCGGTAGCTACTCGATGTCCCTGGCCCGTGCCCCCTGCACGCTCAAGGGACCCGAGCGCCCTCTGGGGCCCAGTACTGGGGCGGCGCGGGGTAGGCAGCGAGCAGAGCCGCGGCCGCCGACCCAGCCGGAGCTCGGCGACCCTTACCACGCTGGGCGGCGGCGCGGGGCGGCGGGAGGCGGGCGGGTGCCCGGCCGCGACAGCTCCTCAGCAAGATGGACGCCATGCGCCGGCCGCGGCGGCTTCTGGCTGCGGCCTCCTCCTCGCCCTGCTCCGCGGCTCCTCGCCGTCCAGGCAGCGCCTAGGCCCGGCCGCGTGGGAAGGGACGGCAACTTCAGTTTCTGGCAACAGGCTCTCAGTTCAAGGACCCGGCACCGGCGGCGGCCATGTCCGGCCACAGACGTCCGGAGGCAAGGGGCGGGACGGACCGGCTGCTGCTCCCATTGGCCCCATAGGCGCCCGCCGGCCAGGTGAGGGGCGGGCCTCGCCTCCGACTACCGGTCCCGGCATGCATCCGGCCTCCTGCCCTTCCAGCCCTGCGGACTGCTTACTGGTCCCGGCGTGCACCGGGCGGCCTGACCACTTGGCCTGTAGACTACAGATTCCAGGGTGCACAGGCGGACCTCCCTGCGGACTTCAGATCCCGGCGTGCATCGGGCGGAGTGTTTCCCCACACCCCCACACGCCCCAACCCCACCCCCGAGTGTGCTGCATTCTGGTTCTCGTAGTACTGCGAGTTTCACTAGCTGTGCTGGCTGCCCCGTACGCAGTGTACGTACTTCCGCATCTACTCAGCCGGGCCCGCAAGCCCGGAGTTTGGCGGGATCCATCCTTGTATCACGCGTAAACCACCCGGTCTCAGGGACATTAGGGAAGCACCCACTGGAAGTACGCCCTACGAGGGCAGAGCCGGGGACGCTTGGGGCGGACCCCGCGCTTGTCCGTCGGCCGCCCTGTGGCCCTAGACCGGATTCCCTCGCCGGCTCGCTCCTGAGCTGCGGCCCACACCCCGCATTGCTGGGCGCCAACGGGACGACGGGGTTCTGGCTGCGAACAGAACGCCAACCCCTTTCCAGGCACCGCGCCTCCTCCAAAACCCTCCTTCCCGCCCCGTTGGCCCCCAGCCCTGCCCATTCCAGGAGGGAGAAGCAAGCAGCCCCTAGACCTGAGAACCCTGCCGTCCTTCCTCTCCGTAAGCTCAGTGAGGGGCGACCTGGAGAAATGGGCCTCCGCACTTCGCCACCAGGCTCCTTCCCACAAGCAGCACCCCAGCTCTTCTCGGGACTTCCTACACAGCTTCCCGCCGCGGAAGGCCTTTTCCATCCTCCACCCTGTGGACTAGTGTAAACTGAGGGTTCGGTGGCTGAGGGCCCTTCGCGCACAGTCGTCGCATCTCTGCTCTGTGGGTGCACAAGTGTGGAACTCCAGCTGCCTGGTCTCCCTAGGAGCTCGCTTCCCTTCCCGCAACTCTCCTGGCGCAGCCCGCTGGACCGAAGCAGCCAGCTTCCTCGCTTCTCGGAGCATGATGGTAGCCGCTGAGTCAGCATGGGCCGGGAGTCCCACTCACGTGGAAGAGGCGCTGCATACTGCAGGGCGCTTTGAAGATGGTGTGGAAGCTCCTTTGTCCACTGGACATCGGCACCATAGATGGGGTGAAGGGTGCTGGCAGTTCCTCAGCAAGTTTTTCAGCCTGCCCAGGCTCTAGCCTTCTCTTTAACATCAAATGCAGAGTTCAGCCAAGCACAAAGATGCCCCAAACCTAGGGGTCTGCTGCCAACACACCGTAAAGAGGGTCCCTTTCCCACTCATCCTGCAGGAGGCAAATGGAGGATAAAGAACAAAACAGTCCTTGCCTCCCACCCTGGGTCGGGCATGAGCCAGAACAGGCAGGTACTCAGGGATGGACAGGACTGGGATACTTACACTGCGAACTGCAGGATGTACTAGCCCTAGTAGTGTCGTTGACTCTTAGCTCCAGATGGCCCTGCCCAGACGCTATTGAGGGGCAGGGAGGAGACCTCCCAGATGGGGCAAGAACCATCAGGGGCTGCCCTGAGACAGCCACCTCTGCAGTGGCCACCTCTCCAGAAGCCTGTGATGGGGACTTCGAAGGACATGCACAAAGGGGAGGAGTCACCCCCACCCTCCCTTGCCCACCCTGGTGCCAAATGTGAGGAAGTACAGCAGCTCCCAGCTCACCAGCTGGCCTGGAGGCTGAGGGAGGAGTCAATGGCAGGTGGGCAGAGAGCACCAGGTGGGGTGCTGGGAAAATTAATGTTTTGCCAATCAAAACAGACTGGTTGTGTTTTCTGATTATCTAAAGAACTCATGCACAGGACTGGGAATTTAGCTCAGTGGCACCGCACCTACCTTGTAAGCACAAAGTCCTGAGTTTGATCCCGGTAAGGGGAAGGGACACATGCTCATTGTAGTCATTGAAGTTTATAAAAATAAGTATTAAGGGAGTAAGTGGAAATTCAGCCTCTGACCAGTGAGCCACATAATCAAACTGGGAGCAGACCACATTGTCACCCCGCACCTAACTCTGCCAGACAGTGCACCGTGAACTCTTTAGCCTTTCTCTTTCTTTGTTTTGGGGTTCTCTTTCCCCCTTCTTGTGCTCCCACAAATCATGTTTTTGCCCTTGTGTGTTCTATGTCCTTCACTCAGTATTTACCTAAGTCCAGAAGCAAGGTGGGGTTGTCCAAGCAGCATCCCCAGTGAGGGAGGAGAGCCAGGGTCTAAGCATCCAGCCAGGTAAAGTTAGGGGCCTGGCTGGAAGAGGTAAGGATCTAGCTAGGGAGGGGTTAGAGATCTAGCTGGGAGGGTTAGGGATCTGGCTAGGGAAAGGATTAGGGATCTGGACAATGAGGAGGAGAAGGAGGAGGAAGAGGAGGAGGGGGAGTTAAAGAGATCCAGCTGGGGAAGGGATGGGATCCAGGGTTCAAGGGAAGGTCAGGAAGGCAGCACCATTTGCTGGCCTGACCCCACATTCGGGTTTAGAGCAGATGGAGTTGTCTGTATTGGAGCTTTGCCAGGAAGTGTGATGAAGGAAGAGAGAGACTGTAGTTAAGGGTCTGACCGAGAGAATGGCTATAAGGCTTGTCTGAGGGATTTAAAGTGGGGAATGCTGGCAACAAGAAAGGGAGGAGCAGTTTTGGATAATGGAAAGTGGCAGGATCATTGGCCTGAGGGCTGAAAGGATTCAAACCAGGGACCAGAGTTAGTGAGTTGATAAGGGGAATGCCCACCACCTGCTGGTGGGTGGTTTCTGCTTCCTGCGGATGACCAAGCAGGGTTTGAGCCCAGGAAAAAGCCGGAGATAGGGCTGGGGGCTCAAATTAGCCTTTTGCCTCTGGAGGAGCAGGGGTCTGGGTGTCCAGGGGATTGAGTTCTTGCTGCTGGCTCCCACAGCCTTGCTCCTGAGTAACACAACACGGGCTTGACTGAGTCAGGTCAGCTTGGCTGAAAGGGGACCTTGATGCTTCTGCTTCCTCCTGCCCGCTGAGCGCCATGGGAAGACAAGTCCAGACTACCCACCTCAGGCTCACTTTCACTGGGACAGGAAGCAGCTCTGTTCTCAGCCAGTTGTCTGAGAGGCTTTTTGCACATGAAGCTGGACTTATTCCTAAGAATCTCAAGTATAGTCCTGGATGCTGGGTACTGGGTCAGGGTGGACACGAGCAGGTGTGCTTTGTAAACCCTGAAAGTGTAATATACACGCAGTGAAAAGGCAGAGCCCATGGCGTACACTCAGGCAGGTCCTGCTTGAGCAAGGTCCAAGGCTGCTGCTGCCAGAAGCCTCCTGGGGCTCCTCCCACCCTCACTGCCTCTCAGAGTGACCTTTACTCTGACTACCACCAAACATCACTTTTGCTAATTTTTCACTTTTTTCTTCCCAATGCTAGGAAATGAGCCCCGGGCCTTCACACTGAGCTGTATAACCCAGTCCTTCTTTATTTTTTAAAACAGACTCACTAAGTCATTGAACTGCCCAGGTGGGGCTCAAAGTTTCTGTCCTTCTCCCCCAGCCTCCCAGAGTGCGGGATTATGGGGATACCCCACCCTGCCTGGCTTTTTTTTTTTTTTTCACTTTATATAAATGGAAACAAGCCGCCATATACTTTATCTGGCTGAGAATGGTTAGGGATACAGCTATCCAGGGAGGAGTTAGTAGTCTTGCTAGGGAAAGTGTTAGGGACCCGGGGATCTGGTGTTAGGGGAAGGGCTGGGGGATTTGGGTTTGAGGAAAATTCAGGAAGCCATGTATCAAATTCATTCACATTGTGGGTAACTGTAGCTCGCTATTTTTCATTGCTAGTATTCACCCATGGTATGAGTATTTGTTCACCAGTGCAACGGATGACAAATCCTTGACTTGGGCCGTTATGAATGACGCTGACATTCAGGTCCTCATACACAACTTTCCCCCCCACCCCAGTACTTCAGGCAAGCGCTCCTTTATGGAGCTACATCCATAACCTTTGTTTTTTTTTTTTTTTAATTTGTACCGGGGATCATACTCGGGACCTTGCGCTTGCGAGGCAGATGGTGGAAACACTGAACTAAATCCTAATAACCCTCTTTAAAAGTTTTCTTCTTTCCAAATTTTCGGTTTTGTATTCATTTTTCTTTTTGTCCACAGTCTTCTTTAAATTTTATTTTATTTATTTGTATGGTTTTGTTATTTCCATCCCTTTTCTTTTTTATCCCCTTTAAGTTTATTGATACATTTAAAGCAAGCAATACAGTTACATTTATCACTGGGATCTTGTACATAGGTCTTGGTTCTTATTAAAAATTTATTTATTTTTGTTTCTATTTTGAGACAGTCTTGCTAAACTGCTCTTGAAGTTGCAATCCTCCTGCTTCAGTCTCCTGAGCAGCTGGGGTTACAGATCTGTGGCAGCACATTTAGCTCACACACAGCTTTCCTTGTATATGCACATTTCCTGGGGGAGGATTCCCATAACTGCCTTAGGGGGTTCTGACAGCTTTCCACAGTGGTGCCACCAGCTACCCTGCCACAGGACAGGATGAGTGATGCAGTCCCTCCACATTCCTGTCAAACTTGCTTTAGTGATTATTGTGGTTTTAATCATTCTGGAGGGGGAGGACATGCTGTGGTTTCCTTTATTTTAATTTAATTTATTTATTTAGAGTGTTTTTGTTTGTTTGTTTGTTTTTTGAGACAGGGTAGCCCAGGCTACCCTTGAACTCATGGCAATTCTCCTGTCTCGGCCTCCTAAGTACTGGGATGACAGAAGTACACCTCCATACCCAGCTCCAATTCTTTTACGACAAGATTTTGAGGCACTGTTTCACACGTTGTTGTGTCTGTGTGTGTGCGCGTGTGTGCATGTGGTGCTGGGGACACATGCTAGGCAAGTGCTGTGCCCATGGCCTTGCTTCAGTCTGGCCTTGCTGTG